GTTGCCGTGCCAAGCTGTGCGGGAATAAAGCTAACATCAGTTGCATTTGCCTATTTATTTTCTTTTCTACATTTTTCCTCCTTCTAATTCCTTTTCCTTCTTAACTGTCTATCTAGGACGTCGGCTGCGCCGCTCAGCTACAAGGACAGCGGCGTGGACATCGATGCGGGCGACGCCTTGGTCCAACGCATCAAGCCACTGTCGCGTGGCACTCAGAGACCTGGTGTCATGGGCGGCCTGGGCGGCTTTGGTGGGCTGTTTCGCGTCAAGGATCTCAACTACAAGCACCCGGTTATTGCCGAGGCCATTCAGGGCGTGGGCGCCAAAATACAGTTGGCTCTGCAGAACGAACTCTACGATCACATTGGCTACGATCTGGTTGCCATGTGCTGCAATGAGCTGCTGGAGCTGGGCGCCGAGCCGGTCGCATTTCTGGACTACATTGCCTGCGGCAAGCTGCAGGTGCCCCTGGCCGCGCAACTCGTCAAGGGCATGGCCGATGCCTGTCGGGATGGGCGATGCGCTCTACTAGGTGAGACTTAATTGATCGGAAGAACCATTTGTGGGTTCTGAGCCAAGTGCTCAGCAGGGCTAGTTAAGGAGAGAAGGAAGTAATTTTTGACTGAAATCAAATGCGATCACAGTCGATTCAACTTTAAAATCTAAGAAAGTAAGAATTCATTTCTAACTCGAGTTAAATGCGATCTGTTTCTAATGGAAGAATTAAGAAGGCAACTGTCAAAACGAAGTCTTCGCTTTAGTAATTGAATTTCCTTTTATTATTGAAAGATTTTGCGTCGAAAGCTCACGTCAGCACTTCCAAATTAAGGATCAGTTGTTATATCTGTATATCTACCAATATAGATAGAGTCTAATTACAGATTGAACTTTACAAGTAGACTGGGCTATCGATCATAAAAAAGAGGTGAAGCATTTATAGATGACTTTAGAAGAGCTACTGATCGCAGATTGATCATAAGTTAAAGACACTTAGATCCTTATATGCAAGTAAGATCCTTGATTAAAAGGCTTATGTAGATTTAACATCTGGGAAAATGGATCAGCTGGCATATACCTCTCGATATGGAAGGAGAAAGATCGCAATTCGTTTTAGATTATTTCATTTTTTTAAATTATAAACTGGGATTATTTAATTTAATTTCTCGATCAGTTGATCATTTTCCGATAATAGATAAAAGAATCTCTCCTTTTTTTTGTACTCTGATTATCTTATATTTATGATGCAATCATGACTTTAGACTCATCAAATAAATCGACATGTTTGTGCTCATATTTAATACTCATCTTCCATACCTCTCCCTACGCTTGCAGGTGGTGAAACTGCGGAGATGCCCTCGCTTTATGCGCGCGGTCAGTACGATATGGCTGGCTATTGTGTGGGTCTGGTGGAGCAGTCGCAGGTGTTGCCGCGCTTTGACACGTATCAGACTGGCGATTTGCTTGTCGGTCTGCCTTCCTCCGGACTGCATTGTGCGGGCTTCAATGAGCTGCTAACCCAATTGGCCGCTGCTGGCGTGAATCTCAAGGAGCGCTCGCCCGTCGGCGGTGATCATGGACTCAGCCTGGCTCAGGTGCTGGGCACGCCCACGCGCCTCTATGTGCAACAGCTGCTGCCACATCTGCAGGCGGGTGAGATTAAGGGCGTGGCACACGTAACACACGGACTGCTGCACGACGTGGAGCGCCTGCTGCCCGATAGCTTCGAGGTGAGGCTGGACTTCGGTGCGGTGCCCGTGCCCAAGATCTTTGGCTGGCTGGCAGGCCAGCTGCAGCTGAGCGCGCAGGCGTTGCTCGAGCGGCACAACTGTGGCATTGGCATGCTGCTCGTGCTGCCCAAGGCCAGTCAGCTGTGGCATACCGTGTTGCCCGACGCTAAGGTTCTGGGCGTACTGCAGTCACGCAAGGAGAACAGCCCACGAGTCCAAGTGCGCAACTTTAAGGAGCAGCTGCTGCAGTTGGCGGCGCCATTCGGCGGCCTGGGCAGCAAGCAGTTGCCCATGGAGCTGGTGGAGTCACAGCTACAAGCCCTAACCGCTGCGAATAAGGATTGCTTCGAGAATGATACCGGACGGCGCCTGACACGCCTGCCCGCCCACTACGCGGATCCCATACTCGTCCTGGGCACAGACGGCGTCGGCACCAAGCTGAAGGTCGCCCAGCAAACTGGACGTCACGACACGGTTGGCATCGATCTGGTGGCCATGTGCGTCAACGACATACTCTGCAATGGCGCCCAGCCATTCAGCTTCTCCAGCTACTACGCCTGTGGCAAATGGCAGGCGCTATCGGCCGCCGAGGTGGCTGCCGGAGTGCAAGACGGCGCAAGGCAGGCAAGCAGCACCTTGATGGGTAAGTCCAAGAGAAAATATCATTCAGGCATTCAGCTGGAGAGATATTGATATTGAAAGGAAATCCCTTTATGCCAGTGTTAACTGACAGTTTGTATTAGGGCCATGTCTCTGTTTGTCACTTTACCGAAAATCAAATTCCAAGCCAATGCCAATCTCAATCGCCAACGTCAACGAGTTCATCAAGGAATATCTGCAGAAGCACCCTGGAAATTATCCATCTGAGAACTGAGAATTAAACCTGAAATATACTCTACTCAAAAGACAAAACCTTGCAAGACATCCCGAATTCCCAAACTAAAACCACGCGAACAGGATGTTGAAAGGACTCTTAATGAGGCTCCTTACCATGGCTTCTGTGTAATGAAAGGAATATAGAGAGACCTTCTCTGCGAGGAAATAGATTCACTTTCTCGGCCAACCTTTCCTCGAGACAAAGAGGCGTTTGGACTATCGTAAAATCTCCTGAGACAACCTATAAACCTAACTCCCTCCCTCCTTCCTCGCCATTATGCAACTTAATGGACCTCCGAGTGAGCTCAACCCTTAGCCCAATCATATCTGCTTAAATTATGAGATGATGTCGCAGCTTTCAGCTTAAAAGCTTCCAAATTTATAGAAACTTTTGCTTATTCTACAGCTTTTTAGCTTTAAAGCTCTCCTATCACAGCATCTTCTAAGTTAAGAAGTTAAACTCTTCAAATAAGTTTCATATGTCCTTAATCGAGTTTATAAAACTCCACCAATCCCGTTATTGAAGAATTCTTACATCGGTATGAAATGTTACCTCAACTTCAAAAAGCTTTGAAAGCTTTTGAATACAAATAACTTTATCTGCAAGCTGCTTTTTCGTCATATCCAACAGGCGAAGCTTTTTATTAATCTGATCTAAATGGCGTCTGGAGCTTCGAGCTGCTTTAAGCGTTTGGAATTTAGTAAAAGCTACTTATGCTTCTTGTAAAGTGCTCGAGTGAACCGCATCCAATCCTTACTTTAATCCTTTTCAGATGTCCACATAGCCGCCCTATCGCTGCTATATGAGCCTCAGGTCTACGATCTGGCTGGCTTTGCGCTGGGCATAGCGGACCGAGCCGGCATCTTGCCACGACTGAATGACATACAGCCGGGTGATATGCTCATTGGGCTGCCGTCGTCGGGCGTGCACAGCAACGGATTCAGCCTGGTGCACAAAGTGCTCAGACGAGCGGGTCTTACCCTGTCGGATCCGGCAACCTTCAGCGGGCGTACGCTGGGAGAGGAGCTGCTGGTGCCGACCAAGATCTATGTGGAGGCGCTGACGCCGCTGCTGGCACAGGCAGACAATGGTATCAAGGCGCTGGCCCACATCACCGGCGGCGGTCTGCTCGAGAATATACCGCGCGTGCTGCGCAAGGATCTGGCGGTGCGTCTCGATGCCAACAAGTACCCATTGCCGCCGATCTTTGCTTGGCTGTCCGCGGCTGGGAACATCGCGCCGCTCGAGCTGCAGCGTACATATAACTGCGGCCTAGGTCTCATCCTGGTGGTCAGCGCGGAGCAGGTAAAAGCCGTTATGCAGCAGCTGCGCTACACGCAACGCGCTGTGGTCGTAGGCGAGGTCATCGCACGCAGCGATCCCAAGAAGCCGCAGGTTGTGGTCAAGAACTTCGAATTATCTCTGGCGCGTAGCCTAAAGCTGTTGACGCAGCCACGCCGCCGCGTCGCAGTCCTCATCTCCGGCACGGGCAGCAATCTGCAGGCGCTCATCGATGCGTCGCGCGACTCCGCCCAGGCGTTGCATGCCGAGATTGCGCTGGTCATCAGCAATAAGGCCGGCGTGCTGGGCCTGGAACGCGCCACCGAGGCGGGCATACCATCGCTGGTCATCTCGCATCGTGATTTTGCCAGCCGTGAGGATTTCGATGCGGAACTGACGCGTCATTTGGTCGCGGCGCGCATCGATCTCGTCTGTCTGGCTGGGTTTATGCGCGTGCTGAGCGCGCCTTTTGTGAGCCATTGGCGCGGACGTCTCATCAATATACATCCATCGCTGTTGCCCAAATATCCGGGTCTCGATGTGCAGCGCAAGGCGCTCGAGGCCGGCGAAATAGAATCCGGTTGCACCGTGCACTTCGTGGACGAGGGCGTCGACACCGGCAGCATTCTCGTCCAGGCCACCGTGCCCATACTCAAAGGCGACGATGTCAATAGCCTCACGCAGCGCATCCACCAGGCCGAGCACTGGGCATACCCACGCGCCTTAGCCATTCTGGCCGCCAGCGGGGCCAAAGACGTCAGCACGTCCAACTAGAGCGTGGGCAGATGTCCATGCAAAACCTTTTAGACAGCTCTCCAATTCGTAGACCTTCATATCAATGACATGATTATTTTATAATATACATATATGTAAATATTGATAAATAAATTTAACCCTATAATCTTTGCTGCTAGAACCGATCATACTATATGAATATATCCTAAAGCAGCAATCGGAAAAAATTAAAAAATATATATATATTAAAAAATTGACGACCTGCTCGCTGCCCATCTATGATGGGCCTCAGCTAAAGCCTAAGCTAAGACAAATGCTTTCCTTTTATAAATCATAGATAAGATTGGGATACAGGTATATTACTTTATAACTATAATGTTCATCAGTTCTCACTCTAAAATGTTTACTCTATTTAACTAATTTTGTAAGAATTTTACATCATGTTCTTCCTTTGGCATATGCTTTATTTACATATCACGATGCATGCTCTAATCTAATCTAATATCACCAATTATTCATTATTACATTTAGAATATATTATTCAAATTCTAACACCCGCTTGGTTTACAGAAAGAATGAGAAGAGATTTACCATGAAACCCCTTTCGCTGGTTGCGCCAGTCGCAATCTTGGCTGCGTCCTGCTGGCGCTTCACGTTGCGCGGCAGTTCCGGTTCCTTGAAGATGCACTCGGCCAGCTTGTCCAGACTCAGGCGAAAGTATTGATTCTCCAGTATGGGCACAATCAGATTATACTTATCAATAGTTTTGTTCAGCTGTTCCACATCGGCCGCATGCGACTGAACAAATTTCTGCCAGGCCGCCTGCTCCTGGGCCGTGGCCAGGGGCCAATCGCCGTAGTAGCTGCGCTCGGTGCGCAGCTGCTGCTTCAATTTGCCGACAGCCTCGCGTATGTCGCGACTAAGCGTAATCCATTCCGGCGTAAAGCCATTGTCCAGCATTATTTTGTTTAGCTTGTGCGTGGTGAAGTCCAGATAGGGATTCTGTGACTGAGCGCTGGACAGCGGCTTGCCGGCGCCATTCAGATTATTGAAATCGCCCTTGGACATGGCCTCCTGTATCAGATCCTCGACGACACGATCAATGCCGTATTTTGTCTTGATCGCATGCTTTCCATAATAGCTGCCGCCTTTGCGCATTAGCGCACCCTCCTCGGCGGCCGCCTTCTCGATGCGATGCTCCAGTACGCGCTCCTGTGCTTTCATCGCACGCACCTGTTGATATTGCTTCTGGCGTTGAGTAGGCGTGCCCACGCCTATGCCATCATTGGACAAATATTGGCGATGCTGCGGCGCCGTGTGCTTGATATCAAACACCATTTCCTCCTCCTCGTCTTCGTTGATGTTGCGCCGACTCTTGGCGAACTTTTCCTGCAGCATTTTGAATGCCTCGTCCACCTGCTGGAAACGCTCGTTGCTCGCCTCGTCGGTGTCCGCATCGGGATGCACTCGCTTTACCAAGTCCAAATAGGCGCGACGAACCGTTTCCTGGTCGGCGGATTCGTGTACGCCCAGTATTTGAAAGCATTGCTATTGAATGGCACAATATATTAATATTACCGTTAGTTTATGGCATTACTACTCACCTGGTACAACTCGCGCCTCTTCAAGTGCAGCGCGCGCCTGCAATTGGCCCCGAGGGGGCTCATCAGATTGCCTAAAATGTTAACTGTCGGTAACATGCTCGTTTATGATATTATTTATAAATGATCTTGGCATTTGTCGCCCGTACTAAGTGTTTTGTTAGCTAAGTTCACATTTGAAAAATTCAATCAAATTTATGTTATTCAATAGGTGGCAAACGACCAAAACAAAACAAGACAACATTAATGAGTATTAACAGTGGCAAACAACTGAGGGACAACATTTAAATGTTACTGCAAATGTAAATGTAAGGCTCAGTATGCAAACAATTAAATCAAGTAAGGTCACAAACAATGGTTTGTATTTGCTTAAAATGTATTAACCACATAGTCTAATTTAGAAAATCTTTGCTTATCATGGGTATTTTTGCGAGAACGTAAACACAGAGCACACGAATAACATTACCTTAACATCTGCTTAACTCAAAATGGCACTGTTCATTAACAGTATGACACTTATCGAAAGGTGATGGCCCAAAGTATGACCACTTTTGGGATTTTTAACAGACTTGATGTGACCAGATTTAACCACAGAAAACAGCTGTTGAATTTTTAGCACACTTCGGTCACACAGTACCAAAAAAAAACTCGTTGCACACAACAGCAAAACACGCAACAAAAATTTATATTAACTCGATTTAATACAAAACGCATAACAATTAAAACTAAACAATAATTGCCAGCCAAGTGCCTCAACTGGCCGAATGTGTGCAAACAATGTGCAGTGGAATTAGCAATAGAAATTGTTTAACATAGGCGACACACACACACAAATAAAAAATATTTTTCGTAAGTGTCGCAGAATTTACTAGTTGCTGTGTGTGCGTGCCCCACTCATGTGTGTGTGTGTCAGTACGTGCGTGTGCATGTGTAGATGTAGCGTGTGTGAGTGACTGACTGCAGTTTGCGTACGATATTTTGTTGATTAAAATGTAATAAAAACGTACACTAATTAAAAGTGTAGAAGGCAACAGCCGCGCCAAGCACAACAACAACAAAAAAATTTTGCTGCTATACAACACTACATTGAGTAAAGAGAAACAAAAAAAAAATAGCAGCATGTCGCGTCGTTGTGTGTGTGTGTGTCGTCGTCGTCTCGTCACAGTCTGTGAGTGTGTGTGTGTTCATTAGTATTTGTGTTAAATAATGTTTAAACATTTTTTTAATTCGCACAAACTTTAATGCGTTGCAGTTCAGCAAAAGGTGAGTAATGTCATGTAAATAATTATAAACAAAAGCTTGACCAAGTCAATAGTTCGTCAACAGTCGCCCTGCTCCCCCTCCCTTCCCCGCTACAATCCACTCTGGTTGGTACTCTCGCTCTCCCTTTCTCCAACACTCGCTCTCAATTTGCTCAGTTTTTGCACGTTCGCTCTTAATTCTAGTGCGCCTTATTTTAAGCGTAATTTTTGTAGTTGCCTTATTTTCATTTTAATTTGCTATGCGCGATTCGCGCGCTTATTGTGAATGCGCAAAGCACACAAACAAACGTCAAATGTCAGACAAGCCGCTCTCGCTGTTATGCGCTTACTCTCCTAGCTCTCAGTCTCTCTTCAGAGGCCGTGTGTGTGTGTGTGCGTGTGAGTTTGATTTGTTTTTGTCTAATTTACTTTCTACGTGCAAAAAGCAAAAACTCTTGTTTTAAGCATGCAAGTCAACACACTTTACTGTTGCTACTCTCTGTTTTTATAGGTATTACCTTTGTGCACTTTTTTTTTTTTGATTTGATTAGCTGTGCCATGCACACACACGACTCACATACACATGGCGAACTCGTTTCTGATAAGATTTTAATTGTTTGAAACGGACATGCCAATAACTGAATGCTGATATGAGAGAATATCATTAGCTCGACCTTAACATTTGGAAAAATGTTAAGCCTGAAAATATCACTGCAGCCATTGAATCGATTAAATAAAGATCGATTTAATTCCTAAAATAAAATAAAGCGAGTTATTTGTGAAATAATACTGTTTCATCTACAACCTACCAAGTCAATGATAAGAATTTGATGTTAACCATTTATGCGAGCATAAAGCAACAAATAAAAAAAAAAATAAGAGCGTGAACAGTATTTTGACATTGTTCATATAAAAAATATTTAAGCTGCTTATTTACAGTCTCCAGAAAATCCGAATAAATACATATGTGTGATTCCTCACACAACAATGTATTTGCTTAAGCTGCATGCCATCAAATTATAATATAACAAACAGTAAATGAAAAGTGTCAGCAAACAAACAAAACGCATAACAAGACTAGCATTTGTTGTTGTTGATTTTCGCACGGTTTCAAATTCCAATGCATTGGCAACACTAACGATACTAGCAACAACAAGCACAGATACGCACGCACACAGTCACACACCAAACACACACACACAATTGCTAGCAAAAGTAACAACAAACTACAGCCAAAAAAACAACGTCAGGCGCTCTCATTCTCTTTATGTCGGCCCGCTCTCAAACATTCATTCACAATTATACTGTAACAGCCAGCGAAAGAGCGCGCAAAATGGAATGTGCTGCAATAAAAGTAGCAAACATATGTTGTTATACAAAAAATGTTCCAGCAATTTTTATTCAGTAATTATAGATTTGAAAAAACGAGAACTCAAAGTAAACTGTATGATCTTCGTTAACAGTGCATAAAGTATGTGAAATTGTGGCTCTCACAGATTTTCTCGTTCGCTGTCTCTCAAGGCAATCTTAGCAGGGCGCGAGCGCCACCTGTTAACTAACAGCTGCTTAACATGCACAATTTGAGTCAACATTGCTCTCTGGCAACAAAACGTAACAGACCCGGTTAGCGTTGGCGCCAGTGTTAACAGTTTTTTTTTACAGTAACAGTATGTCGTCGCGCCGGATAGGATGTAAAAGCGAATAGCGAAAATCGTGAAATTTTTTCATCTACACGCGCTCGTCAACCAAAACGCCATGCTAAATAAATAAAATATATAAAAAAATAATATTAAAAATAAGTGTGTGAGAAGCAATTGTTAAACAAGTGCAATAAGTGCAAAGTTCATGCAAAGCAAATAGGAAAAAAGCAAAAGCAAATGCAAATGTAAAAGCAAAAGCAAATAAAATACGTAAGTTGTGTTTATTAATTATTTATGACAAGCAACAAAAACAACGCGTCACAATTGCCCTCGTCGTGGTCGTCGTCTTCGTTGTCGTTGTCGCAAGTAGAGCAACGCCGCGCCACCGTCGCCTGCCGCCCCTGTTGACCAACACACGCGTACATTACAACATACATACATACATACATATACATAAAGACAAATGCGAAATATTTTTATTATTACCTCTCTCGCTCTCGCCGACTTTCGATCTGAATCGCCTGCAAATGTTATGCAAATTAATTAAAGCAATAGGAGCAACAAAAATTATTGAAGTCAACATCAGCCGTCGCAGCAGCCACAACAGCATAAAATAAAAATTTCGCTTTCGCAGTCAAAAAAAAAAAAGAAAAAACGGTACAGAAAAAGTGAAATGCGCATTGACTTCAAAGCTGCTTTTTTTTGTAAATTTTTCAAACGGCACTTGGCGCTCAATCGCGGGCTCTCTCGCTCGCGCGTAACGGAACTGCCGCCAAGGCACTCTTAATGTTGTTGTTGTTAGGCAGCGCCAAGCACAAAAGCAAACGCCAAAAAAAAAAACGGTTATGCGTGCGTTGCCCTTTGGGCTGCCTATGCCTACAACAACAACTGGTCGCAACATAATGAATGAAATACTACAAAAAAAAAAAAAAAAACGACAGCATAGGCAATTCTCTGTGCTCTCACACATAAACACACATACACACACAAACAGAATTTAGCGGATATCTATATGTGTGTATGCATAAATGCACATAAAATGTTCATACATAGCTAGAGAATGATTACATTTTGTTGTCGCTTGTCTTGTGCGCATCTGCTGTGTTGTTGCATTTATTATGTATTATGTGTGTGTACGTTTTTTTGATTTTTATTTAACACCTGCTGTTTTTCCATCAGCGCGAGCCGCGCACTCAAAAAAAGTCGCAGCTGCTGCTACGAAGACGTTGGCAACACACAGCCACGTCTCTTGCGTACAATGTGGTTGGCAACTCTGCACATGCAAATGCAATTGCGATCAACAGCTGAAAAGCGAGCGTAAAGCAATGTTAGCGGAAAACAACATCCTCGTTTGTGTGTTTGTTGTTGTTGCTTTGCAGAGTTTGTCATTTATAGTTGGTAACACTGAACCGGATTCTCATATTATTAACAGCTGTTGAGAGTGGTTAAAACGAAAGAGAGAGAGAGCGGGAGAGCGAGAGCAATTGAATATAAATCGAGAGCGATCGTTGTTATTGTCCTTGCAGTCGATGTTTTAGTTGTTGTTGTGTTTTTTTTTTATTGGGTATGACGAACCTTTGTGTATTTGGGCACACCTTTCCTGTTTCTTGGCTTAATTGAATACAATTTTTTTTGCAGCCCTAGAAAAAACTAAAAGCGCCTCAACAAAAAAGCAATAATAAATAAATAAATTATTAAAAGAAACAGCATAAGTTAAACAAAATGTTAATAAATAAAAATTAATAATTACAATTTGTAGCCATTAGCTTTAATAAAATAACAACAAACGCATAACATTTATGAGCAGAAATTTTCATAAAGCCTATACAAGTACGCCTTCCAATAGTTATATATACAATATATACCGTTATATATACACATATGCATGCATAACATAGTAGAAGAAGCAGAGCAGAAGCGAAACGAAATTCGGCTAATTAGTATATAAAAAGTGCGTTATTTCGAACGATGCAATCAAATCTTTAAATATTACAAAATTAAATCGTATATACATATATATTAATTTTACATATATATACATACATACATACATATATTTCTTATAACAACGAAATAACATTAGGAATATTAAAATTAATATAAAAATTATCAGCTTGCTTACAACAAAAATCCATGCAATTACTTTAGCAAATTTACTTTAAAATAAAAAATACAAAAAAAGTAAAAATAAAAAAAATATATATTAAAAATAAATAAATCAAGTGCAAATTCTAAAATGTAAAAAAAAAAAACAAAACAAACATTTTTTCTATGCGCCCCAAGTGCTTAAATAAAAACAAAAACAAACAGAATACCCAAAAACAACAACAACAACAACAACAATGTAAAACATACAACCATAACCTCAATCAATCACAGCAAAACGAGCAATATTAAGCATAACGAAAACTAAACTAAAAAAATTATTATAAAATTTAATTGTTAAATGTTAACTAAAAAAAATACAGCTACAACGCCAGCAACCTGCCAACAACAACAACAACAACAACAACTCATGCGGTGCCCAAAAGCCATCGTATGCTTTAGCCGCCCCGCAAGAAGAGCAGCAGCAACAGAAAAGCAACAACAACAACAACAACAGCAGCAGCAGCAGCAACAACAACAACAACAACAACAACAAAAGCGAAAAGTTAACGGGAGCAACGGCGCCATTCGGCGCAGCTCTCAAATTCTCAGGAGTTGCTATTGCTGCACGCATTAACATTGGATTAGTCCCCCCCGCACCCCAACATTCCCCCAGCTCTGAGGTACTCATGTAGGGGCATTAGAAGCAATTGTGGAACAGCAACAGCAACAACAACAACAACAACATCGACAGTAACGGGATATGGATATTCATATGAAAAAACTAACAAAACCACGGTAAGTTTTGAATACTTTTATTATATGTACTTAATTTCTTCATATGAACTCGAACTCAATTCAATCTTAAAATTCGTACTGTATTTTTCAAGTTCTTGCTGATGCAATAAGTTAAATATTATTATTATTAAAAATATTCCCTACACCCTTGTGCTTTACTGATAATACTAAGACTTTCGCAGTCCGATTCAAAGAGATCTTTAAAAATGTGTTTGAATTTCAAGTAAACAGATTTCTCTTGCCACTTTTTGGGTAATCGTTCAAACAATATTATTGGCAGGTTCTGGAATTCGTATATTTAGTATATTGAATTTTAACATGCATATAGATTTATTATTTAGAGAATCTTTAAGTTTTCTTATGGAGTCCGACATTAACGTATGCCTCAAACTAACCTTGTTTGTATTAACCTCAAAACCATGCAACAAATACATGAGCTAAAATCGCGCGAAGCAGTAAAAATAATTAAAACATCAACAAAACGAAATTATAATAAAAATATCAACGTCTTTTCAAAGATTTTCCAGTTGTAGTGTGCAGTCTTGATGTGCGTATGTATATGTATATGTATATGTATATGTATATGTATATGTATATGTATATGTATATGTATATGTATATGTATATGTATATGTATATGTATATGTATATGTATATGTATATGTATATGTATATGTATATGTATATGTATATGTATATGTATATGTATATGTATATGTATATATATATGTGTGTGCATGCACTATAAACAAGACAAGCTGCTGGTTCCCTAAAGCCACATTACACACACACATACACACATACACACACACACACACACACACACACACACACACACACACACACACACACACATCCACATGAACACGCACACGCTGCGGAAATTCACAGACATATTCCCGTTCAAGTTCCACAACTAAAAACTTTTCTCATTTCTGCGTATTGCGGCAACCCTTTTTTTTTCTGTGTGTATATTTTTTGTATTTTTTTATATTTTCCTTATTTTTTTTTTTTTTTACTGTCAATGAGCTGCGGCGACCACTAAAATGTATAATTGAAAATTGTACGCCCACATTACGACTTGAAATGCACAGACAATGAGAGGGACAACGACAGGGGGGGGGGGGGGGTGGGGGGGTTTAGCACCAAAAATGGTCCCCAGTTGCTTTTAGCGCCGGGCAATAAACAGAGCGAAAGCAACAGCCGCACTATGAAGATTACAGCTAAATAGAGGGAGAGAGACGAAGCGGGGGAGGGAGGGAGAGAGAGAGAGAGAGCGCGTACAGAGTGTTGCCAAGTTTGCGGTTTTCTTGACTGTCGTTTTACCCCGGCCAGCCCCGCCCCGCCCCAATTTAGCGCCCACCTTGACCAAAGTAGAAAAATCTAAAAGTTTTTTTCTTTCATACTTAAATACATATACACATTTATATATGTATGTGTGTATACGTTTTGCCGGCGTCGCCACGCACTGTTTCGCCTGCTGCTTCGACTGCTTCTTCTTCTTCTTTTGCTATTTATTCTTCTTCTTCTTGCTCAAGCATTGTGTGCACTTTTCGCTGCAATTTGTCGAAAAGTTTTTACTGTGCGCGTAAAGTTTAACCATAACAGATTTCTTTTGCCGTCTATTTTCCTTGAGGGCCAAAAACTCGACCAACTTCTCAATTTGGCTTCACTGTTTGCCACGCCCCTCGCCCTTGTCAGAGGCAGGGCAGTTAACAAACGCATAAACCAGCATATCTAATTTGACAAACTAAACCTGTTTTATTCGACAACATTTTCGCCCAGAACTGCTTTCGTTTACTTTTCCTGCAAAGTAATTAGCTTGTATTAGTTGGATCGGTTAAATTAAGTCAAGTAATACGAGAGAAACATTTTAAAAGCAGCTTTATCTAAGTCAAAATAAGTTCAAGAGTTTATAAAGACTAAAGCTATGATAGCTATAAGATCCCTGGAGCAGACACGTTTCCAAGCTAAAGACATTTTTCATTCAGAAATTGATAATAAGGGACTATATATAGTTTAGCTGTACGATTTGATATCTAATTTGATATAGCAGATATATTAGGAGAATTGTTAATAACGTGTTTTCTAGACTATCGAAATTTTCGTTTAAAGCTAACATTATGTCAGCCCCAAGCATGCTATGGAATTTTTTGATGTTTCTAGTTTTACAAAGAATCCATCATGTATTCATATTGTTGGTGTCGCCATCTAGCGATAGAAACACGCATACGCTCACTCAAATTATGCTGATAAAATTTTAATTTCTCTAAAATTGAAATTTTAATGTGTGTCTAAAGCGCGCGCGAGTTGGCCGCAATCTCCATTACGCTGTGCCGCCGCACGGCCCTTTGCTTTAAGCCCTTGTCAAGTCACACACACACACACACTCACACAAACACGTGCACACACACATACCCATGCACTCGCACAAACAGACTGCAAGTTTCTGGTTTTTGTGGCTTTTCCGCTTCTCACTTCACGTCGCGCGCGCTCGCTCTCTTCCTCTCTCTCTCTCCCTCTCTCTCTCTCTCGCGCGCTGCTTTTGGCATTGGCTAAAAGCGAATTTCTTTCGTTGAATTATTTAAATTTGTCGGGGCTTGGCTGTGTGCTTGTGTGTGTGCGTCTGTGTGTGTCAGTTATGAATAGCTAAGTGAGTGCAAGTGCTGCAAGCAGCCTTTTCATTTTCATTAAACGCAGTCCCTTAAGGGGGATGCCTGGTTGCGGGGATGCGGTGCTGGGCTTTAGATCACAGATGAGAAATTGCATGTGATAAGTTCTGCCTTTCCGGATTTTAATTGTATTCCGTATAACCTATATCAAGCATAATTTGATTGTTATGAAAAGTCAGAAATCAGCCGGTCTTAATCGAAACTCAACTAATTTTATTGACGCCCATCTCTAGATCTGACTTTTTCTGCTAGCCTGTTATAATCTTGGTATATTTATGGTTTTATTCATTTTATTGTTTGTTGTCTAGAATTTTTCTTGTTTTTCTTGTAGAAGACAACAACAACAATTTCCTTGGATTTATAAACCTATTTTAGAGAATTAAGAAATTAGATGAAGAGCAAGAGCAATACGTCAACCACTGAAGACATCCAGGGATTGAGATAATTTCCAGGGTATCAGCTAGCTTGTCACTTTGGCATGCTTTTAGTTACAAAGCTCTAAACAGCTTTTGTTTTTCTAACTTTTAAATGTTTAACAGTTGTAAGTTGATTAAAGCACCCAACGCTTTTGGCCTGTAAGCAACAAAAAGTTTAATTGGCACTCTACCCGGTTGCTATTATACGGTTCATTCACAGTTTTTTCCCCCAGTTACAGGGCATTTTGGCTGTTAATGACAAAACTTACCCCTAAAAGCGGGCAAAACAAATGCCTAATTGTCGCTGCGAATTGATGGTTCTTTGCAAACGCAAAGCTCCCCAATCATTAACCAAGGGCGTAGATAATATACAAATAAACATATGTATGCATATGTGTGTGCCTCCATATATATAAGTGTGTGTGTGTGTGTGTGTGTGTGTGTGTGTGTGTGTGTGTGTGTGTGTGTGTGTGTGTGTGTGTGTGTGTGTATACAAAAGGCAAACAAGTCAAGCACGGGCCGCCGAACCCTTGTTAAAGAACGCAGCAAATTATTTGCTAAAGGAAAAATCCCGAGCAACAACAACAACAACAACAACAGCAAAATGAAGAAAACCCGAAAAACGAAATAAATGTTAAGGGAAGTGATTTACTTTATCGATGGACACATAAAACAATTTGGCAGCACAGTCAGACGAATGCGTCGTATTCTCTCTCTCTCTCTCTCGCTCTCTCTCTCTCTCTTTGTCTCCCTCTCGCTCGCTCGCACGCATCCCTCAAGTGGTGGCAAAACATCTGTCATGACGGTTTGTCCTTTCACCAAATCCTTTTTCGCACAAAAATCAAAATAATAAAAAACAAGTAAAAAAAATGTCCCTTTTTGACGATTGCCCGATCAGCAGATACCCTGTACTCTGCTGGCAGAAGGCACGAAAATTATTTTAAATCTAAATAGAATAATTGAATAATTCTACAAAATTCTTTATATTTCCAGTATACAAGGTATCTGCTTTATTGCTGTTGCGACCAATCAACCCACCTTTGAACATTTTATAGAGTATAGGGTATATAAAAAGCAAATCTTTTCTCCGCTCGCTTTTACACGCTGTTTGCAATTTTATATGGTATGAAAATTACATGTGCCCGACTGAATACGCGCAAACTGTCAGAGAGGGGAGACAGAGTGGGAGTGAGAGCGAGGGGGGGGGTTGGGGTTGGGGCATAAAGCCGAGTGTCCTGGCATCCCGTAGCAAAGTCATAAAACTTGCGCCCACCAGAGCTTTGCATTCGTTCTCCTCGACGCACTCGCGCTAGCTTCTTCTTCAATTGGCAGCAAAGTTTTCCATATAACTTGGGCTTTACCTTGGTGTCCTGCTGCTAAACATCCTTTCAAACTGTTGCTGATTTATAGGCTGCCCTTAGACAGGGGGGGGGGGGGGGGGGGTGGGCGCTGCCGGGGTAACTGTCTGTTTAGTTTACATTCTCTCCGTTTCTTATTCTTGACATTGCTGCTCTTCTTCCGGCGTCGCATTCAAATGACATAATAAAATGTATAATTTCGACATAAAAACTGAAATCCCCTGGGAGATTTCTGCGTATTTCTGCCAAGGTTCCCCACAAAGGAGTCCTACAGCACGCCCCTAAATAACACTCGCCCCCCTTTGCCGTCCAGTTTTGATTGTTGACTCCACGTGCGGCATATCAATTAGGTGTGTAGGTCACAATGGCTTAAGTGTGTGACGCCAAAGGGTGTGTGCAGCGGGGGGAGGGGCTGTATAGAGAGGGCGGTCGCCTATTTGATCGGCGGGTTATTGGTTTGCGGCTTGGCTCTTGGCCCAAATACGAAAGTTTTGGTTATTTGAACTAGAAATTGGACATGAATCATGCATTCAGTTTGATGCAAAGTGGAACAG